ATTCTTATACTGGCTGTGATGTATGAGAAAGTGTCGTCAATCTGCTTCTATAAACATAGATAAGGCCTGTGTGTAAAGCCGTGGATAAAGAAGTACACAGCACACTCATGGTATTAAATATTATCTGTGTGTGTGTGTGTGTATATCAGGGGTTCAGCATCTCGCAGCTGCTATCTGTCTTGTATCTACCTTTTGTAACAGGGCTGGATACTCCATATCTCCACGATAAACATGACCAATGGATTTACCCTGTGGCTGGACACGCATACGCACACACACACACTGTCTAGGAAAAACAAAGTCCATCAGTCAATGACATGACCCAGATTAACAGCCAAGGTCCCTGGGCTCCTTTGAAGGGCAAGGCTACTATTACAGTAGACAAAGGAGTGCTGAAAGTGAGAGAAACCCAGCGGCTTCATTTCTGGGCTGGTCTGACCTCAAATTGAAGGTTTATCAGTCTGGGAGTCCTAGTATGTTATCAGTATTGCCTCATAGATGTGTGGTTTTTCTACCATTTGTATGGTAGCAAAGGTAAAGGTACTTCTGTTCATGATCCCCTGTTGCAGTTATATATGGTGCTAAACAGATAACGATAAGCCTTTCTAGTGGAGAAATTTGTTTCATAGACTGTCTGGCAAGAAATGAAGATTTAACCTGATATGACGGTCAAAATTGGGATCACATTGTCAACCCTGTAAGATCCTGTTAAGTCCTTAACATGACTCCTACAAGCACTCATCAAAGAACCTTTAAGAAACGCTCTCTTCCCTTATCAGTAGCCCAGTTTCCATCCAAATACATTGCAAATTTTAATTTCCAAAAAAAGCAAATGAATGCTTGTTAAATCTAATATCGTCATATTATTGTTAGTGTTTAGTGTATTAGGATAGTTGGTCGATCATCGAGATAAGAGGTAGGTGGCGCCAGTTCTCCAGTTGGAAAACCAGAAGAAGAGGGTGCAACAAGATGATGCGATTGAAAAAAGTGCTGAAACTGTGAAAAACAAAAAAACAGGATAAAACTATGACATTTTCGTTTGTTTCACATATTAATGGGAGGAACGTTATATCAGATCTGTGTGGAGTAGTGCTCGACCGCTATTTGAAGAAAAGTCATGTATTATTCTACTCTATCCCAAAATTCAGACATATGTATATAGCAGGATGCATGAGAGGGCGCGATGACAAGACTGATGGAGCAGAATCAGCTGATCAGCCAAATTAAATTTTCGCAGAATTTCAGAATTTATTCAGAAAAAGTCTTTCCATCTTCCATTAGGCGCATTAAGTCTTTTTCAAGAAAGGCAAAAACCACCTAAAGCAGGCGTAAAATCTTTTTTGTAAAATAGTTTTTTAGATTTTTGCCATTTCCATCAACCGTTTGTAATGCAACATTTCAAAATGTGGCTATTGATGGCTGAGAAGTCTTTGAGTGGCAGTTCTTTCAGCGGCTAACAGTAAACACTCACTATAGTCTTTACTTTGCTTTCCTTTAAGGAGTGAATACGCATAAAAGATTGTGTAAAAGAGCATCAGTGCTTACTGAGCTCATTGCTGATTAGTGTTTTGCCAGAGCAGGCAAGTTTTCATGCTTCATCAGGTGATTTTTTTTTTTAACCAAAAAGCTGCTCTCTCTTCTGTTCAGTAACGACTGCTATCGTGAGGAAAAAGCTGCAGACATGACTGGACGCCATAATGACTGTTTTAAAAATTGGCGAAAGCACTGTCGGGCCGTGAAGCATTGCTTTTAACACAATGTGAAGTCTATTCATTTCATACAGCAGGAGTGAATGAAGGCTTCATCACTCTAAGCCGATTACAGAGTGGAGAAAGAGCAGAGCAACTCGTGTGTTTCTCCCCAAGGAGTCAACAAATCTAATAAACACAAGATATAGTCAGCACTGGGATGGAATAGGGGAAGAACATGACTCCAACAGATTGATTTGGTACAATCAGACTCCTACTGTTGATCTCAACCCAAAGTCTTCATCAGGATCCTCCTCACACTCCAAATGAAACACATTAAACTATATTTATCTATGTCAGGCATTTCTGCTAACCTTCCTCTGTCTCTACCTGTATCTTTGCCTCATCCACCTGACCACTGTTCCCCGCTGTCTGCAGTTTTATCCCCCTTTCCCTCCCCTCCAGTCTTGTCTCTCAGGGAGCCGGCCTGCAGTCCCGTCCGTAGAAACTCACTGGGGTTTCTCACCCCTCTGCTATGTTGACTGGCCATAAACAAAACACACATAGACTCACAAGCCTGTCAGCCATTCTAAACACTAGGAGGGACCTCCGAGCAAACACTCCCCAGAATGACAGAGTGATATAGGGAGCCAGAGGGATGGACTGTAATACTGCCGAGCTCAGCTGCTGTCTTGCGGTTTCGATTGTAGGACTTCATTTTGAGGTCAAACCTGTCGTTCTGTGGCGCTACTACTTGAAAACACCACATCTACACACATAAAAACACACTTGACACGTTTTAAGTAAGTGATGTATGGATTGAGTAAAAAATTGAAAGGCTATGTGAGGTCATTCAGAGCAGACTTTCAGCCGCAGGCGAACCCTCTGTATGACTCACTGAGATCTGCAGGCACAGAGCAGCTTGAGATGATGGAGAGGCCAGTTGGTTTTCTATTTATTTTATGGTACTTTTTTTTTTTTTATGGAGCTAGAAATGTAATACCTGTCATGTCAGCAGCTCTAAGGTCATACAATGTGAGATTGAGCACTTCAGCTACTAATGCTTGGCTAATAGTGCTCTCTGCTGTCTGGATACAGAATAGCAGCCAGAGAATGAAGATCACAAATCACACAACATACATACATAATGTATCTCTTATAATGTTTGTCATTTTTATTTCAGCTTTCATGTGCTTTCAATGAGTAAATATTGTTCTGTGTACAGTGTTCTGTGTTTTTTTTGGTATGCCTCATGGTAGCTCCCCCATTGATGCACTTCTTCTGTTTTTGGGCCAAATATGGTGTCACAATACGTCTCTGTATCAGATTAGATTATGATTGTGATTGACCTGAAACCACACAACCATTTACCAAACCAATATTATGGTTGTATTTTATATATGTTTTAACTTCTACTAACAAAAAATTATGATCGCTGATCTCAAACCATACCAGGATACATTTAATTTAACTATTTTATCCACACGTTATCACAGTTGCATTGTGTTTGGATTATTCATAATACAAGCAAACGTGTACACAGTAGGAATACAAGCTCTGTGGTTGTTTTGGGAGAGATGTGAGGTGAACCAGGGGTAAGAAGTAAAGGCAGAGGAGGAGGAGGAATGGGAGGAGCTGGTGGAGATCTCACCTGGCACAATTTCAAAAAGGTGTCTTCCTGGCTCGTCTGGATTGGCTGTGAGCTCGTTGACCTGGCATCCCTGCAGAGGTATACAGCCCTGAAACACAGAGAGGCATTCAAATACTGGGCAGGAATAGACGCCATAGTCCTTACGTATTTCCACTCCTTACTCTGTTTTAGCTTCCGTCCTTTCATCACAGCATCCTGTTTGTCCTCTGTCTCTTCTTTCTATTCTTTTTACGTCATTAAATGTTTCTGAACAATCCCGCTTTTTTTTATTTTTCGTAAACACTGTTTATTATTTTACCAGTCCAAATGACAACAACAAACAATGTCTCCCACCCGCCCAGACCCTTCCAATAGCACAAAAACAGCACAAAACACTGATAATGTCTCACAAACAAAGAAAGTAATAACACAGCAGTACCAAAATAAATAT